AACATTATGGTTTGATGATGTTACTTAAGGAGTATAGTCCAGTGGAATAGATTTTGAAAGAAAATGAAGGACATGAAAAATTCAGAAGGTCAGAGTTTGAGGAAACACAGAGAGTGGATGCACCTGCGCCATTGCAAACGATTTTGAGCCATGTCATTCAAGGTCTCTAACCATCGGTTGTTATCATCTCGCGGTCCCCAACCAGGTAGTCTACACCTACCAACATGGCTCAGTCCACTTGTCAGTGACTTCATGGATTTGTACCATGTTTTGGTCTGGCCGCCCCTAGCTTTCTTCCAACCTATTCCTACACCACAAAACATCGCACGTCGTGGCAGTCGGTGGTCTGGCATGCGCAACACATGTCCCAGCCATCTCAACTGATTAAGTTTCACTACATCATCAATTGATTTGCCATCCTTACCTAGTGCCCATTTCCTAACAACTGAGTTACTTACTCGGTGGTACCAGGATATACGAGCAATGTTTCGAAGACACCTATGATCAAATACTAGTAACCTACAAATATCCTCTACTCTTACTGGCCATGTTTCACTGCCATAAAGTAGGATGGAACGAACTGCTGCACCGTAAACACGTCTTTTGGTTGATAGACGGATATCTCGTTATTATTATTATTTTAACACATAAGTATAGGTACAGGGAGGCACCAAATACATATGCGCCACACGAATCTCAATTGATTTGTGTGAGGGCTGTGATACTGCCCGGGTGCCCAAACCGAAGCAGGTGGTTTTCTTAGGGGGCCACACCCCGAGCCTTTGACCTAAGGGTCTAACCCACAAGGCAGTGGAGCATCGTGAGGAGATGCAGTCCCATGGAAGCCGGTGACCGAAAGTTGGTTCATACGCCATTTGTTCCTTCAGGATACTGGAGCCCATGTGCACCATTGAATTGGGATCCGGTTATAGCGCCGGACATTCGCTTTTCGTCCTCTCATTTTCGTAAACAACACCCCCGCCACGAGAAGGCAGTGAGTAGGACTTCCCTGGCAGAGGCTATATACGCGTGGCCGTGTGAGAGTATTTCGAGAGGGAGAGTGGACTCTCCTCACTCTCGGCCGTACCAGGGCATTTGAGGGCACGGATATCTCGCCTACACCACAAATGACGCAAGTTGGCAAAAGCTAGTCGGGCCTTCTGTATCCGTGCTGAGATTTCGTCACACACCAAACCACAAGGGCTGATGAGACTTCCAAGATAAGTGAAGCGGTCGTCACGCTCAACTACTTCACTCCCTATCACTAGTTCGGGTGCCGATGCAGCCCAATCCTGAAGCAACATTTTGCATTTCGAGGGAGAAAATCGCATGCCGAACATGCCTGCATTGTTGCTTAGAGTGGTCAGAAGACTGCATTTTGTCAGCGTCTTCACCAAATAGAACGATGTCATCGGCATATTCTAAGTCAAAAAGTGAATCTCCTGGTAAAAGTTCAACTCCTGGAAATTTAGATGAGGAAAGTGTCATCTCTAAAAGGACGTCATCGACAAAGTTAAACAAGAATGGAGAGAGTGGACAGTCCTGACGAACACCACTTGAGGTAATCAGTTCTGATGACAGTTCTCCATATGCTTTCACTCGACCAGTTGTGTTCGAGTAGAAAGCCTTTATAAGGTTAATGCACTTCTTTGGTACTCCTTTAACTGACAAACACTGCCACAGAACCTCACGATCAACAGAGTCAAATGCCGCCTTAAGGTCGAGAAATGCTACCATTGTGGGGCGTCTGAATGTGTGTCTATGTTCTAGGACCTGACGTAGTGTGAATATCTGATCTATACAACCACGTCCAGGTCGGAAACCAGCCTGGTTTTCTCTAGTCTGCTCTTCACGAGCTTTGGTTAGACGTCGAAGTAATATTGAAGCTAATATTTTAGACACTATATTAGTTAAACTAATTCCTCTGTGATTGTCACAAGAGGACTTTTGTCCTTTCTTATAGACTGGCACAATCAGTGATTAAGACCAGTCAGACGGGATTACGTCCAGTTCCCAGATTCTACCTAAGACCTCAGTCAATCTCACTGCTAATACTGGGCCACCATCCTTAAAAATCTCAGGGGTAAACCTGTCAGGGCCTGCTGCTCTCCCACGCTTCAGATTTCCTATAGCTTTTTCAACTTCGTAGAGTCGGAGGACTTACATTAACTTGTCGTTCAGGTAGATTGGAGATCGTGGGAAACCGAAGTGTGGCTGAAGGCCAGTTGAACTGATCCCTAAAGTGTTCTGCCCATCGATCCAATCTCCTGGATTGAGAATGAATAATATGCCCATCTTTCTCTGAGATTGTTCCGCTAACAGTTGAGTTCTTAATACCGGTTTCTTTAACAAGTCTGAACAGTTGTCTGCTTTTACCTATTGTCGCTGTCTTTTCCATCTCTCTTTTTTTCGCTACCCACCATTGTTCACGATCATTGCGTAGGCTTCTGGTCAGTTTACGCTTAAGCTGACTCCGCTCTTTGTTATGTTCAAAGCCAGATGGAATGAGTTTACGAGCATCTATCAGTGCGGTAGACGCTGCTGAGATCCAGTGTTTCTCCCTAACATTATGGTTAGCCGTACCTGCAGACATCACTAATGTTTCTACAACTTTTCGGATGCCTCGGGGTGGGCATCAGTTACGTGCCTGCCTAACTGTTTTTTTAGTTGTTCCTGAAATATACTCTTAGCTTGACTATCGTTAAGTAGGACCCTAAGGGGTTTCCCTGAATCATCTTTCCTACGTCCAGTAAGACGTAGGCAAATACGTACTCGCACTAGAGCATGATCTGAGTCTAAGCATGTGCTCCAGAATGAGCGACAGTCTTCTATCGAGCCCCTCCATCGGTGGCTGATAGCGATGTGATCTATTTGGGTCCAGCGTTGGGACGAATTAGCGGGTCGCCATGTTAAAAGATGTTTTTCCTTATGATTAAAGTCAAGTTATTGGCCTTTGGCATTACCCGATTTTATATTTGCTTGGAATAGCTGTGCTGTGCTTTTACTATGTGAAGATTCGTATACTTGGCTTTGAGCAACATTACGTGTTTGGGCTAGTAATAGTACCCGGTTACTCAAGCCAATACTGTTACCACTTCTGCTATTGAGAAATTTGTCATGACAATTTTATCTCTCCGTGTTAATGTGATGTGGAAATCTGAACAGACATACGTTTGTCAGGTTCTACGTTGTACATCACTGAAACCGAAGTAGACAGAGCGGGCTTCGAACCTCTGATCTGAGTTTAAGCATGTGCTCCAGAATGAGCGACCGTCTTCTGTCGAACCCCTCCATCGGTGGCTGATAGCGACGTGATTTATTTGGGTCCAGCGTCGGGACGAATTAGCGGGTCGCCATGTTAAAAGATGTTTTTCCTTATGATTAAAGTCAACTGACTCCTTGTATCAATATCTATGTGTTAAAATAAATAATAAATAAATATTGATCACCAAGGTACAGATACATACACGACGAATAATATTGAGTTGCCTGTTGTCCATACACACAATGAACTAGGAGTTATTGTTAGCCAAGACTTAAAAACTATCGCACACTGCCGTGTGATAGCCGCTAAAGGTTTGTAAACCCCATAGTCAATGCGTAGAGACTTGAGCTATGTCAATGCTTAAACTTTTTGACTGTATACAGTGTTTGATCATCCTAAACTCGAGTATTGCATACAAGCGGTTAGCCCCTGTTTAAAAAATCAGCGAAACGTTGGAAAAGGTTCAAAGAACCCCAACTAAGCTGATTCCCAGAATATCTAAGCTTCTGTATGATCGACTGGCTAAACTAAACCTATATCCATTGTCATATCATAGAACTAGAGGTGACTTGATTACAGTTTTCAAATTGCTTAGTGATAAATTTGCACCTGATATGCCCTCATTTTTCTTCTCTTCCAAAACAGAGAATTTACGATGACACTCTAAGAAAGTTCACAAACCCAGAACAAATTACTTGTCAGCTGACTATCGACTTTCCCATCGAATTATCAACGAGTGGGATTCATTACCTCAACACTCAATTGAAGCTACATCCGTTGACGCTTCCAAAAGGAAGTTGGATCAACTGAGAGATCACCATTGCCAGGACTAACACAGGCCATCCAGCCTCCTGTCCTTTCCAAACTGAAACTAAAACCGTCTTTTAAGACCCATCCTGATAATCAGTGCGGAAATCCTTTGATTCGTTTTAGTCATGTAATTTATGTACTATAGTAGTCACTTAAGATGCTTGATAGAAACTTACTCCATCTCATTTTCGTTTTGCGCGTGGAATTTACGTATTTTGGCAAATACATGTTCAGGATCAACTCGTAAAGTTCGATTGTATCTCACTTCCTTCCTTTGTTACAACAGGCGTCACGGTTATTGAAAAATAATCAAGTTATTGGCCTTTGGTATTACCCGATTTTATATTTGCTTGGAATAGCTGTGCTGTGCTTTTACTATATGAAGATTCGTATACTTGGCTTTGAGCAACATTACGTGTTTGGGCTAGTAATAGTACCCGGTTACTCAAGCCAATACTGTTACCACTTCTGCTATTGAGAAATTTGTCATGATAATTTTATCTCTCCGTGTTAATGTTATGTGGAAATCTGAACAGACATACGTTTGTCAGGTTCTACGTTGTACATCACTGAAACCGAAGTAGACAGAGCGGGCTTCGAACCTCCCAATTTATTACCTGATTGGGCATCTATACCCTTGAAAGTAGGTTGTTTGAAATTTGGATAATATTTCGTTACTTTGCCGAAATTAGTTAGTTATTGTGAATTTACGTTTGCTGTCACTATATAGTCTTCGAAGTTTACTACTGCTTTAGGTATGAGACTGATTTTTAGTGTTAGTGTCAATGACATCAGTTATATCTAGTGTAATCTGTAAGTAAGCAGTGAATTTTTATCTGCATAATGTGTGTCAACTGTTAATTTACAACAGGTTTCGGAAGATATCAATGATTTAATGTGTATATTGTCTCTTATCATTTTGTAGATACCAAATAAAGCTAAAATGCCCCGACAAGCGGAACTTATCTGTCCAGAAGACCAAACACTCATACGAGGGACCTGTAAACCAGCAGATGCCGAATCACATGTCGATTGTAGTTCACTTAAGGAAGTTACGAAAAAATCCAAACACCATTTAAAAAGAAGTTCTCAAACTACTCACTCAGATGGTAAAGAGAAAACTCTGAAAACAAAACATGCAAAGAATAGAAACGAATCCTCAGTCGTTATCAGTCCTAAGCTCTCTTCGGATGTTAGCCAACCTAATAGTGCAGGTAAAGAAGGGTTTAAAAAAGAAATTACACTTGACAAAAACAAGCGCGAACATGTGAAAAAAAAGCGGAAACATTCGAAAGGTGAAACAAGGCATGAAAAGCGTAGCAAACACGATGAAGCGAACTCTGAGGTAACTGTTGATCAATCAGTTGTCAAAGAATCTGCCCGTAAACACAAGCATCGCGACAAACCTCATGGTTCCTCAAAGATGTCAATGGTGGATGGGATAACTCATCGTTCTACCAAATCTGTCGCTTGCGGGGACAGTTGTCGTCAAGATGCTCCAACTTCAGTCAAAGAGCAAAGCTTTGAAGCTGTTTCACGTTCCTGTACTTATGAACCCGTTCCAGGGACACCCTCATCCGCTTCTAGATGTTCTTCACATGTTTCGCGTTCATCTTCATGTAGCCAATCCCCGACACGCTCCGGAAAGCATGAAATGCACCGCGTCCATGACCCACGTTTTGATGAAAGGTTACATAGGCAGAGGTATGAGCAGAACAGTAGATCGCCATCCATGCATTTACATCATGATCACAAACCTGACCTTCCTACACGGGCCACAGATAGCGGTCATGGAACTAATCCTGAAGAAAAGTATTATTCAGTAAAAAGAACACAATCACCCGTCAGTTCACCTTCAAGGTCAAAGCGATATAATTCAGCTACTTTAAGTTATGGGTATCGTCAGTCAACACAACGTCATCATTTATCCCCAAGTCATGGGTCTCACTCAAGACATCATGGACCTCACCGTGAAAGAAGTCGTAGTGGCTCGGAAAGATACGAATCTCGACGAACATCAACATACCGCGCAGGTGATAAACAACATATTCACTCAAAGACTTATCTCGTCAAGACAAAACCTAGATATCATAATCCGGATGACCATCCTGATTTACATGAGATTAGTTATTCGAAAAATTATGAACGTCGTCACATACGTGATTCTAATAGCACAAAAAGACACGGAAGTGGAAGTCATCGACGTGAAATTATTGAATCTTTATCACCGTCACCTAAAATCTCAAAACAACTTCGTGAGAATTATGAACCTCAACATCATTCAAAACGTCAACAAGTCAATAACGTAAGTATCTACAGTCAATTTAGTTAATGATGATCATCGTATTTCGGCATAGTGAATCATTCTTTTGTAACTATTTAATCCATATTTCGACTGCATAACTGTCATACAATGTTTGGCAGTTATATCTGTCAACCAAGGGTTTGCTTTGGAATCAAAGTTTTCTAGTAAAATTGTACCGAACGTCAATTTGTCTTGCCAAACGATTAATATTAGTCATGACATCTTTTTATTTCGACGTAATAAAGTTTTATCATGATAATCTGTAAGATGTTCGCTACTTATAATTATCGCTAATGAAATAATGCTACAAGAAACTAAAAGTACAAATGTTATTCTTATTATCAACAATTAAAAGTTAAGTCGAAATTACAATATAAAATCTATGACATGGAACTTTGAAAGTGAAATGTGGTCAGAAAGATCTTGGAAACAAGGGTAAATTGGATTAGGCTGAGGTCAACAGAGAGGATTTGAGGCTACTTTAATTGAACAGTCGATTTCGACAAGGTTATTCTATTATTGCACCTCATGTTGCTTTCTTTTCAACCATATTTTATAGTGTTCCTGTGTCCCATTTAGAACACACATTAAACGACTGTTGTTAATTCAACACCAAAGAAGTGGAAATTTAATCCATTTTTTAACGCAAAGGTAAATTTTGTTGCTACATGGTAGTTAATGAATATCTGTAAAATCACAAATAATAAAAATATTTCCAATATATCTTCGATATGGTTAAAATTCACGGACTATTTTCCAGATTAGTCATAGAACAATCTACTAATGACAGAACTAGAAGAATCCACATAACTATTCCATCGTTTTGCATGCAGTTCGTATCATTTAGCGTTAATTACACATTGAAAGTACATCTTAGTAACACCAAAAAAAAAAATAGTTTAATGTAATTGTTTTTACCAATTATGTTAGTGTTGTGTTATACTTTCGTGATTTCTCTAGATATACTAACATTTCTAATAGTTAGTTTATTTAACTTTCTAACTGGCAGAGTAGAAGAATCTAAGCGATAAAAGCTCAGTTTTACTCGATTCGGTCTACATCTTTCAGATTTACCGGAATATCTGATCATCTTTTGTCTGAATGCTCAGTGTTTATTAGCTATTACTCTCAACTATGTAATACGTAATATATACGTATTAGATAAGATGTCTGCTGACTTTTAAAAAACCAATATTCGTACTTTTGTTTCGTTTATTTGACGTATCTATCATTCAGACTTTCCAATGGCACCCGTACACAGAATCTAGTGTTCATTCTGCTCAGATCAATCACTGTTTTAAAATATAACGTTTTGTAACAATTGTATTTGGTTCTGTTGAAGTTGATGATAAATTGGTTGTTTATTTCGGATGAACTTGATAATTTTCATTATTACTACATCAACGACTAAATAGTCCAGTCATCTATACTAAATAACAATCAGAATTTATTTGCCAATATTCTTATTTACTAGTGTCAGCTTAGAACCTAATAATCTATTTAGTCTTACAGAAAAGGCATGACGCGTCAACTCGGAAGACTAAATCACCATGAACTTAAACTTGATCACATTAAGTAGAATTGAACTCTAACCAAGTTCACATATAAGTATTTGATATTGACTTGTTTTTTATTGTGCCGGCTTAACAGACTACCCGAACTTCCGAACTGATATCTGTGGGACTGAATTAAAACCCACTCCTCAATACATAACGACTAAGTGTTTAAACCTCACAGCTCTAACTTTATTGTTATAAAACATTTATCTAGTCTTCACGATATCAAAAGAACATTTTTCAGACTAGTAAAATCATATGTCCTCATACTTCCGTAAGAAATTTAGCCACAGTTCACTTATCAATGTATGTTGTAAAACCTATGACTTTTATTCCCAATCCCCAAATAAATGATCATGGAAACAGTTAACCACGTAATCTTTTTGATATTCTTTTTTGCATGTTCTAAGTGTAAGACTAAACGAACTTGATCAACAATCGTATGACATGTCATCCATTGGCGTACAACGATATCCAAATGTCATTGTCGACCTACTGGAATTAGTGCTTAAAGTATCTGTCGGTTTTCTATTCTTTATGATGCCTCTCATATACTGTATACTATGATTGTGTTTCACTAAACATATATTTCAAATTATTAAGTACATTTGTAGATTTAGAAAGTAAATAGTTAACCTATTTATAGCTAGTTCATCTATACTCTCCTTGAAATCGTCTACGCATTAATCCGATAAGTGTTTAGCAAGATTTTTATTCTTTCTTTACATAACTAATATATACAAGATGATTTTGTTGTCTTTCATGCTCATGTATCACATATACATTAGTCCTAACTTACCTTTTGAACGTAGTTACTGAAATCCCAGTCAGACATACATCCACCTCTGTTGCAAAAACGTGATCGACGAAGTACAAATGAAGTTCACGATTCTTGTAGTCCAAATCGGAAGTCAACCAGTAGCATTCCAGTTTGTACTGAGTCTGCTCATCATCCCTCGAGTTCTCCCTCTCATTCAGCTTGTCTTCTACCTAAGGACAAAGATCGAAAACTACAGATATCTCACGCTCTTTGTGAACTTTTGGATGAATTAAATTGTGAAGATGTTTCGGATACTGAATTGCACTTGATAATCCCTTCTTCTATGATCAATACTTTGTCGTCAGACACCTCACTGGGTTGTAACAATGAATTAACATGTAAAGCTGAATTGTCAGTCAAAATGAATCGTGATGTTACCTATAACAGTAATGATAACATTAATAGTAATAATAATGCGAATTCAAATCATTTGGCTGATGAGAAAGATGAAAGCACTTATCAAAATAGATTAAATAATAATATTAATCTAGACTCTTTAGAAGCTTTATCCACTCAAATTAGACAACATATGACAGGTCCAGAAAACTGGGATATTAATGACTTAGCCGAGCCCATTGAGCTCGGAGAAGAATATTCAGAAAATACAACTGATCAGGCTAATTCAGATTTATTAAATTCAGAGAAATCAAACAACAGTTTGTATACGCCATGGCAAGAATTAATTGAATCAGCCGGAGAAAAATTATCTTTAGATGCCACTAAATCGGATGAACAAGATTATGTTCAGTGTGTTGGAACTTTCATCGCTGGTATAGGACATCAAGACATTGTAAGTGTATTTTCAATAAACTTGTTTTTCTTTTTCAAAATTAAGAGTTACCAAAGTTTGCATGTTTACTAGTATATTTTATTTTTTCAATTTGTCTTTAATTGACATTCTATTGATCTAAACACGTAACTGTTGACCACATATTAGGATTTCACTACTTCTATAAACTGTTAACACAACATTTTTTCCATACGCAAGTTACTCGTCGTTGTCATACTCTAAGGTATTCAGTTGCACCATTAAAGTTATCAATTAGCTAAATCTTTATTTCATAAATTTCTTAATTATAGATTCCATTGAGGAGACGTGCCAACGGTATTGATGTCTTACGAAGGACTGGAGTTAGCCGTACATATTTCGACAGTGATTTGCTTGGCCCTTTATCAACAAATACTAGTTCAAATGAACAGTCTGGAGTGATTAACTTGTGTCAGACAGTCGAATTCCCAGATACATGGGCTAAAGCAAATTGTGGAAATTCACTAACCGGTTCAGGAATTTTAAATCAATTATCCAAATTAGTATTGCCTTTGTCACGTAAAACGGATGCTTATCTTCGTCAAAATTTACTGAAAATTATCAAATGTACATAATTACTTGAACTTCTATGTATTTCTTTTCTTTTTTTGACGGTTTATGAGGATATTTTTGTAAAACAATTTTCACTTGTTTACTGGACAACTTATTTGTACAAATCACCACTATAGTAAATTTTTTAAGATAACCATATTAGTAACTTGCTACTGTGAAAGAGTTGTGTTTTTGTTCGTTAGGATATTTTATTGTCATATTGTATAGTGATAATACGAGTTTCATTTCACGCATAAACTGTGGCTTTTAGTCAAAACATCATAAATATATTCGCCATTATCTTTGCTACTGTTATAGTACAATAAAATAAACACGATCTGGTGTATCACTTATATCAAAAATTATATTCCGACTTGAAAATTCCAAAGTAGTTAAGTGTTACAAAAACCCAAGATTTGTTATTAACTTTGAACATACGTATGCCCTCCCAATAGTTGGTTTGAGATTTTAGCATATATCGACTAGCCAAAATATTACCAAGAGAAGTTATGCTTCCATCAGGAAATTCAGAGACTACCTCTCATCCTAGGTTTTCAGAAGAGATGATTAGTCTAAACAAGCAACATATATTATCAACCCAGAGTTTTGAAAACAGTGACCCTGAACTGCAAATGTTCGTTATAATTTAAAAATTGCAAGTGTGGTATGCTTATTATAATGAGATAACCAAAACCTCTCAACAGATTGGCATACATTTTCTAGGCATTCACTATGTCAGTTCTTATCAACCACAAATTTTCAATCAATCAATCTCTCTGTTCAAAGCTCCCGTTTCACTTCTTTGGTTACTTCAACAGTTTGCACGAAATAAATTATAATGAGCGGTTTATTGTCTTGTGAATAACAAAAAGGGTTTCCTAATTATCAATTCTTTGTCTGGCATCGAGTATATGGAATTATACAGAGCATGTGACAGACTTTATCTCTTCTGTTACAAACCATACTAGTGCATATTTTCTCGTAAGTTGTAAAATGATCCCCACTATACCTCTAAGGTAGTTGACTCTATGGCGGTATTCGACTTTGAAAATTCATGTAGGTGTGAATATACAGGTTTAGTTTTCGGTTAGATAGTATATTATGTCGACCTCGACACCATAGTTTCCTAGCTGTATTCTACGTGCGGTCCTATGTGGACAATACGTCTAAAGGTTCCGAACTTGAATAAAACATAAATATATCCTGGTTTTCATCGCTTCTCTGACTGTGACTAGAACTAATTCCACATATCTTTTACTGCATAAATACGAATCCAAACATTACTTATGCATTATAGTAGATAACGTAATGGATAGACACCCTAAGGATCATATTAAGTGAATAATTAATTTTCTTACAACCGGTTATACTACTTAAAACAGGCAGTCTATAAGTAATAAATGTCTTATCTTCACAAGAATAAAACATTGAGATTTTCTGGTCGACCCACAGCAAATTCTATTTACGAACAATTGAGGACTCGGCTAGGTTGAACTATAAGGCGAGCGAATCATCTCAAGTTCATGACGCATATGAAATACAATAACGAGGGAACTGCCGACAGTTGATTTCATTAAAAATATCTTACTCATAAAAACATAATTACACCTGCATCTTCATTATTTGGCATAATATTTTTATTAATAACTATCTTTACTATTCCCAATATCATCATTGTTATGATCACACAGGCTATGCCAAAACATCCCTTATTTTATAAGTAACGTTGGATGGTGGCTGGTAGTAGAATCTAAGATGCGCGGTTCGTCCAATTTGAGACTCGTCAGCCGGATGCGCCTGCGTCCTGGAATTGATGTACACCCCGAGACTCGAGCCAAGCACCGTCTGTATCCATTTAGCTGCCGAGTTCGGATAGTCACTGGCTTATGAAATAGGGTGGGCGCGTCCTGGATTTCACCGATAGCCACCACCCAACTCTACTTAAACTGCTTGTGACTTAATGGCAGTATTGAGGCAGGATGCACATACGCTAAGACAGACCCGTCGATTTCAGTCCTAAACATCAATCGGAAGATTCAAACAACTGATACAAATGAATTTTCTACTTTGTATTGGCTTGTTTTCACATTCGACTTTTACTTATTGATTAGAACTCATCACCTTAAAGCACATAATTTTGCCTAGTCTTTATACAAGACCTTTTCTAAACATTACCAATGGTGTTATTTTGTTTTATTGGCAATATGTAGTACTTAAGACTGATTGACGTGAAGTTTGTGTTATAACTTGTGGCTTGAGTGACCTGTTAGTGTATACGTAATGATACCGCCAATTAGGGAGAAGTGACTTATCGATTGGATCAAAGACGCGTAAAACCCGTACGAGCAGCCTAGAGTCCTGAATTGTCTGCTTTCCGCCTAGCCCAGCCAATCAAGTCCAGGACACCAATCCGAGCCTCTGTGATATGAATCATTATATTTCAAACATAATGAATTTATATACCAATCAAACAGACCACAACGTACCATAAAATACAAAATAACATTTGTACAAGATTTGGCCAAATATGGCTGTGAATGAGGGAGGCAGTGACAAATAGACAGGGCATAATCCAAAAATGGTAAAACGTATAATGATGGTTCATAGGTCGAAACAAAGCTTATAATAAGAGGAATATGTGTAGTTTAGTTACTTAACAATTATACGATAAAAACATACGCTTAGTATTGGTCCATAAATGGATCCCAAAGTTACCATTCATTATGCTTATCGGGACCTAACAGTCTGGCATTTCCAAAGTATAGAATTGGTTGATTCACCTTGAGTATTTTTTCTATTGTAATACAGTAACGATAATAGTTTCTGATTTATAACTGTAGAGCCTGAGGAAGAAGTTATCGGAAACAGTTGTTCAATTCGATATTTTTCTGTTCTTGAGTGGAATTACCAAAAATTGGAAAAACAACAAAAATTATTTAGAGTCTCTGTTAACCGTTTCTACAGAATAGCTTGATAATAAATACGTTGAAAAGAGATCTCCGCTAAATTTCATGTTCTCAATAAAATGTTATTGTGTTTCTATTCAAACGTTATAGCAGATCTCAAATAAAAAACTAAGTAAATGTTATTTGCTTCAATGTTAGTTTTCATCAAAAACCTAACTAACTAATAATCGATTTCAAAGACTCAACGCGAACTGCAAAAATCTAGTACGTCTCACAGAGAACTGTGATTCTCATGATGTGAATGGCGAATACTAAACTCAAAACAGAAGTAGATTTGATTCACTCTCCATAAAACATGACATTCGATTATTAATTAACGAGTATCACATACAATCAAGAAGCAACTATATGAAGTCACGTAATTGGATCAAGAACTACTATATAAGCATGAACGAATGTACTATATTTAGAATTCGAAATCAAACATTCAACAAGTACAAAGGAGTCATTAGTTCATTCAAACACCACATCCGCCACAGCTTAAATTAGAGTCTAAGTGTCTGTAATCGATTGTACGTCTTCTTCTCAAGTTCATCCTGTGTCTGTTCGACAGTGTATTGGATAAAGACTCTGTATTATCTAGAATGCACTCATTAGTATTAGAATTAACAACCGAAATCGGAACAGACTCACCTGGTTGCTGGAATTGTATTTGATCAACATGTCGATTGTGTGTACTTAAGTCATTGATATCTAGAAGTCGCACCATAGATTTCCCGACATTCTTCAGAACAATCCCCGTGGATGGTCGAAGATCATTGCCACGATAATATGTAACTTCTGCAGACTCCAAACATCTCATATTCGACCGAAGAGTTCTTCCTTTTAATAGTTTTTATGGAGTCTCTTTCGTCACCGAATGTCTGGCATTTCTATATTGCAGTAGAAAAGTATCTACTCCCCTCTCCAGCTCAATAAATTGTAGTGACCTACTTTTGTCAACAGAACGCGATTGGTTCGATGAATACAATTATTATTATAACCAATTGTACCAGTGATTATTTTATTGTGCTCGTTTGTTTAACTGTGCTAATAACAGCCATTTCGGTCTTCCATTTTTACTCGATTGCTTCTACGCGGTTTTCGACTACGCACGTATCTTTTCTTGCCGATCGCATCTGTACTCCTTTGGCACGATCTCGGTATTCTTTCGATACCACGAGATCGCCAACAAATATATTGCAAATACTACTATCATCTGCCTTCTGATTTTTGGTCTACCGGAATCTTATTGGTCTATTGGCACGTAGTCTGGTAGAGGTGTTCATAGTCAAGCTCAACTCGACACCACGCTACATTTGGTGAGCCAAATCTGGGAACACGCATCAACCTCCGGTCAAATCTTCTACATCTGGTGAAAATACATCTACGACCACTTAGCAATCGCAACCAAACCTTCCAGAGAAGTCAATTTCGGTGAGTCTATCGCTTATCTATCCACGTCTGTCATATATTTTCATATTAATTTTTAACATATAATACATTTGACATGACGGATAACGATAAGAATAGTATTAACGTAATAGACTCTGACGTACAGGTTATACACTTTCGACCTGTATCTTTTATTCCTCACGATCCCGAAGTTTGGTTCGTTGCTATAGAGTCTCAATTTGAGACCCGTCATATTACAAGCCAACGGCAGAAGTACGCCTACGCTCTCGAATGTTTACCGGGAGACCATTTACTAGCTATCCGTGAGGTTGTCCTCAATTCCAATGTGTCCAATGTTTACGATCGTCTCAAGGAGGCGATCCTCAGATATTTCCTCCTATCGAGGGAGGAACGATTGAGGACGTTATTAGCACGTCACCCCCTGGGTGATGCTAAACTGAGCCACCACCTCACGCGCCTGCAATCTCTTGCAGTACCCACGGCAGCCGATTCTGAAATCGTTAAAGAACTGTGGCTCGAATCTCTACCAGCATTCATCCAACCTACAGTTACGGCCCTGCTCTAGGACGCACCACTGAAACAGGTAGCCCACATGGCAGACAAAATTCTAGCTAGGACTGACAACCAAGACAACTACGTAGTTGCCTCAATGTCGCGTCCGAAAGTCGATATCGACGGCAGCCACTCCTCGGCTCAAGGTGACAGGGGCGGGTGTATTCACACACGTCTTAGTTTTCGAGACCGTTGTAACGTACCCCAACCCCACGTCCCTCGAGCCCGCTCACGCTCTCGAAAAGCCGTCAACACTCGCCCAACGAGGGCATCTTCCAAGCCACGCCAAAAGACGGCTTCGGAAGCGAGTGAGTGTTGGTGCTGGTTTCATCGATCCTTCGGATCTGATACCCACCGTTGTCGAGCCCCGTGCTCATACAAGGCGGGAAACTCCAATGCCGGCGAGTAAAAGCGGCCGTACTCGCCGGCCCTGCCCCTCAGGTTGGCCGTTTATTTTACGTGCACGATTATCGCACAAACGCTAGGTACCTAGTGGATACAGGTGCCCAAGCTTCTGTCGTACCACGAGGTAGCATCAAGTCACAAGCTGCAATGCTTCGACTACGCGCTGCAAACGGCTCAACCATTCCTACCTAC